CTCTCTCTCTCTCTCTCTCTCTCTCTCTCTCTCTCTCTCTCTCTTTCTCTCTCTGTCTGTTTCGCGCGCGCGCGTTGGAGCTCTCCACCGTTTGAAAAGGGTCGGCCGGCCGGCGTATGCGCGTACGCGAACAATTACCTCGGCCAATCGAGGGACTAGACCACGGGTAGAACGAACCTTCGTCGACGTCGCTCCAGAGGTTCCCGTTCCGTAAGTTCCCTCGCGCGCACATCGTCGCGCAGTAGCAACGGCTCAGTCCGATATCGACGTTCGAACGAGTCGCATTATTCCCCAGCTGCGAGACACTCATTGCAAAATTTCACGCGGGTCCGTCGTCTGGGCTACTCGCGCCAACGAGACGTTTTACTTCGTGCCGACGAAGAGGTGCAGAAGGGAAAGCGCAAGGGCAGCTCGACACGCTAGTGAAGAGTGGTATTATACATGGGTACCAAATGCCCAACAAATCTCGCGCTTCGTCGACACACACGCGTCCACTGCGTTCACATCAGCCCGACACGTCCGAAGATTATTGAGTTTAAGTAATCAACTCGTCTGGAGTGAAATCCTCGACGTCGTCCTTGAAATTGAGTCGGAGATAACGATCGCACCACGAGGACGAGGACGACGACGGCGACGACGACGGAAAGCGCAACGCCAACGTCAGCGACTACGTCTTCCTCACGAGCAAGTCCGAATCGAGGGAGATCAAATACGATGCTGGATTCGTGACTCCCGATTAATACTTTATTTGCAAGTAACAACCAAGGAATTTGACCTACGAAGCAGGAAAGAGGCCATCGTTATCCCTGATTTCCGAAGCTGATGAGTTTAAAGGCTAACGAGAATATCGTCCGTAAACAAATTGTGCTATTTTAGATATCAAGCATCACACGTCACGAGCCACATCGAACCTTGCACCCGAATCAGCCAGGAATCAGTCTTCTCGGCGTCCTCTCTTTCTTTCTATCTCTCTCATTCACTCTTTTTCTGTCTCTCTCATTCTCTCTCTCTTTTTCGTCCCTCTCTTACTCGTACTCTCCTTCTGTCAGTCCAACTCTTTCCCTCATTCAGAAGTCTCGCTTCCGCGCGGAGGATCGATCGATATTTCGTCCCGACGGGTAACTTTTAACGACGCGCGTACTTGCATTCGTCTCTTCCCACATACATACCGTTCTTCACACACTACGATTTCTTCCAAACGTAAGGTGTAAGGTGCGTCTAACCCCGCGGTCTGACCGTCGTATCTTCCAGTATCAACATCGACGACAGGCAACACCTACTGACTTCTCGCATTATCCCTCACCATTGGGCGTCTGTGTCCTTCGATAATAAGGACTACGTACGAATCACGTGACACGGCGAGGTCGAGGATTCCTTTCGTATCAACGCGCAATTTTTATTGGGTCACCTACGACGTGCGCCACCCACTCCTTGTTACGACTAGGTTCTAGCTTGTCCTATGACGTATCCTTTCTCATACCTCACACCCTTTCCATCCTGCCGCGGCCCACTTCTACGCGGTCGCTTACGCGTCCGCAAACAGTCAATAACAAGTGCCATCATCATCGGGACGCACTCGCATCGGTAGAAGACGAGCGGAACTCAAACGTATCGAGACTACTTCTCGTTCGTCGAGGGGTTTACCGACGCGCGCCAGATCGTCGTTGGTCGCTCTGCTCGAGCGAAGGATCGATCTCTCGGGTATCTCTACGGACACGAGAGAAGAGCGAGCGTTGTTGATATTACGATTAAATAAATAAAGATAACCGCCGTTGCCACTATTATTGTTACTTGTTGTTGACGTTATTGTTATCGCTGTTATTGTTGTACATCGACTGCTGCTCGTCACCGTCGCTCTCGTTAAAATCGGCGAGACGTCGCGGCGGTGGTAAGCGGTAGCAGCAGTAGTGGTGGTGGTTCAGGTGCTGGTAGTAGTGGTGGTGGTGATATACCAGTGAGAGAAATTCGTGAAGATATACATACACATGTTTCCGCCGAATCGTGTCGAATAATACGGAAGGATTGACGGAAAGGAGAGGTGAGAGAAGAGAGCCCACAGGGGCGCGCGCATCAGAGAGAAAATCACCAGAGCTGTGAGAGGTGAAAGAGGAGAAGCGACACGTGAGATCGTCACGCGTACACCCTCCGCAAACAAATCCGAAGGGTGTGTTGAGGATCTCTCGATTACGTTCCGCGAGCCACCGGCCAGCAGGGTGATCGATTCCTCGTGTATCTATTGAGAGTCCCGAGAGAATGGTAGTCAGGTCCGAGACCGCGAGAAATGGGCACGAGCTGGCTCCCTTGAACGATGACCGCCAAACCGGCCAGAGCGTAACGATCGTGACAGGAAATCAGAATGTCGTTAACACCCAGCCAGAGGCGAAGGAGGAGAACAGGGCGGCATGGAGCGGCAAAATGCAATTCTTTCTCAGTATTATCGGATACAGCGTGGGTCTGGGAAATATCTGGAGGTTTCCTTACCTGTGCCAACAGAACGGAGGTGGTGAGTATCTTTACTGATTCGATTGCAGTATGTGCCGTTGCGGTGCCGTACATGGCGAAAGTGTAAATACAAATGTAAGGAGTGACCGCGCGTAAGTTTCTATGCCATGAGAATACACGAATCACACGATAAAGTTCCGCGATTAATTAACATTTACTGTATAAGAGAGACGTTATAAAAAAATTACACGGTAACACATTATTATTTATACGCGTTATATATTGCAATGACACACTTCGCCCGTGTATAATATTGAAAAATCGCGTGTTTTTATTTTTGCGACCTTCACGCAGGTAGTGACACCTCGGGATGTTCTTGAACTACGTGTGTGTCAGTGGGTAGCTAGGTAAACTCCTGTTTCTCACGTATGAACGCATATATATATATATATATATATATATATATATATATATATATATATATATATATATATATACATATATATTGTCAGATCCGAGGAACGTGTCGCCGATTCCTTTACAACAGCGTCCGCGTTGACGTTGAGTCGAGATAAAAACTCTTTTTTTCTCGTATATATGCTATAAAATAGCGCGATAATGCCTATACTACTTGCAAGATTATATTTGTCCAACCTCGAAAGAAAGAAAAAACAAAATAGATCAATTAAAAAAGAAATCGATGGAAAGCTTTTTTGCGAAGTAACAAATTTCCGTTCTCGGAAATCACTCCATTTTTGCGCGTCCATTTATTTTTGTTCATTCGATTCAGACGAGCGGATCGTGTACTAAGAATTCAGATGTGTGTATACGTATTTTGAAATACTTCCAAATGATTCAGTTCCAAGTATACACCCTAATTCGAGACATTAATTTTTTTTTTCAAATTGAAATTTCCGTGTTATATTTCGTTGAAGAGTTCGACAGTGTCCTGTAGCTACGTAAACGAGATTTGGATGAATAAATTCGAGAAACGTAAAAGCATTTTTCCCCTCTGATTTTTTAACGATTTACTTTTGACTGTGTGACACGGTATGTTGACGCACGTCAACGTATGAACTTGTTGCCATAAAGTTATGTGCAACATTGGAAATAATCTTGCAACTTACAGTCGGCGTCAGCCTTTACGGCGTCGGACGTAAAGCGAAGAAGAGCAGGGACAAGGTTGCTCGATACGAGGGCAGTGGAGGCCAGTATAGCACGCGGCTAACTATAATGGTCGACGACTATTTTCAGGTATCCCACAGTCCCACGCCGTCGTTAAATATAACTGCTACGAAATTTCCGCGCGTTCGCGTCCTTAAAGGCACATATTTTTCTATCGTGTAATTTTTATGATTAATATATGAACAGCAGGACCGCCACCCCGTGACTACGTGTATAGCGGGTGAAAAATTAATATTAATTTGCCAGATCACGCTTGACGGCTCATTTTAACATATATGCGACGACGAATGGTTTGGCTTTGCACGACTCATTTAATTTTCATTAATCCTGCTCTTCCGCTCGAGTCTATTTGACCCATTTTCATTTCTGAAACGCGATTTTCCTATATGTTATCAGAGAAGAACAGCGGCGGTTAGTGGAGTCACGCAAATGAGACGATGGTCTCTTACCTCTATCCGGTGAATAGAAATTGAGCAGTCGTTCACTGGTCCTGAAGTTAATTACGTTAATTGATATTTGATAAGTGATATTACACGCTGAAAGAGTGTGATGTAAGCACGCTGCAATGTATTTTACGTGGAAAAGTACTAGGTATACTGGGAGGTATACCTGGCTACAATCTTTATAGACTCTTTTTCTTGCTATAAGTAGAAGTTTTAATAAATTTCCCCTTAGAGAAACGATGATTGGTACATTTATGTTCGTATCGTTCATGTAAAAGTTAACGTTACGAAAAATATCACCCATATTAGGGTTCGAGCGAACTTATCGATTAAGTCATTGGGATTTCAAAGATTTTCCAATAAAATACATTTATTCTGCGTCGTATATTCGCGATACGCATATCCCCTTAAGTGACTTAAATATCGTCAATATCGTTTAGCCCTGAATACGGCAAGTACGTAAGATCGAATTAGGATAAGACAAAATGCAAAATCAACGCGGAAGAGAGATCTGTTATTCATCGAGATCAGGACGGTTCAAGGTTACACGTGATTTAATCTAACTTGACGTGGAAGGTCGACCAGCCGAGCGAATAATACTAAAGACGTACGCCCCGGTAATGGTGGCGTTTTGTTTGGGGTCACATGATATATGGACACGCGTATACACAACACACGCGCGTAAACATCTCAAGCTAGACAGGGATTTTATCATTAAATTCTCTCCGATGAAAAACATCATGAGAGAGCGCGTGCGCGATCGCAAAATTCTCTCCTCTGTACTATTTTAGGAGCGTCATTATATGTAGAAAGAGGGAGAAAGAGAGAAAGAGAGAAAGAAAGAGAGAGCGGTCGTTCTCTTACCAATCACGAGAACGATTTTAGGTGCTGCTAAACATACGTCTATTTTCGCGAGGCGCAGGTAGTAGGTCACGAGAACTACGCGATGGGTCCTCGCGTGATTATGACGTCGAAGTTTATACACACCGTAATCGTATTGGTTACCATCATCCACCAACTGCGCAGATCGAGCTTCCGTTAACAGATATACCGCACGAACGCCCACTTCATTGCCGTAGGTAATACGTTCGCCTAAAGAGGTACAGAGCTCCTTCCCATTTACGAGATTACGCAGGGATCTAAAATTAAAAAGCGCTGTTATCTTAGCGGATTCAATTTTAGACGCAAATACACACAAACGTGCTGATCTTTAAATCGCCTCGACGCGAGGATGGTCTCTGTATCGATTCGGTATTTAGCATAACGTATTCGATTAGGTTACCTTTTCAAGACGATTTACGTATGTTCTCCAGAGCGTGACGAGAATCACGGAAAAGCCCATAACGATTTCATCAGAATCGATCTTCAAATAAAATTGAAAGAGAAGAAAGAGAGAACGCTCTTTGAAGAGAAGCTATTTCAAAGAAAATTGCGCGCGTTTATAGGTCACACTGTTGTCGACGTTTGACTCTCGTGTGATTTTTTATTCGCATGTGTACACACACGGCTTTGGGCTAAATGAGAGCCAAAGCCTCGGCTTTCAATGGAAATTTCCTCATTGCGTTGCGTCGTGTCGCGTCACTTCGTGCTGTGCCGCGCCGAGACGCGGAGCGACGCGTCGCCGAACGCCTATCGATCGATCCATACCACTGTATAACGGAAAGCACGCAACCGACGGACTTAACATCTGCTGCCCTGCCGCGGATTTCTAACGTAATAGCGGCCGCAGAGTCCGCGAGCCGTTTTAATAAGTTGAACGAGAGAGACGCACGTCATGGATTACCGCTGACATTCTCAGAGTCCACGACGACGCGAAGGAATTCTCGATCGCAATCGATACTTTCGTATCTTAATTTTCTTACGTGTACTTTTCTTTTCTTCTTTCGTAGCCCCCGTGACGTTTATTATCGTCACTAGTAAAGATCGTCATCGATGTCTTTGTAATCGGATATGACTGATCAAGCCAACTAATTAAAAACACTTTGCTGCAGCCGATTTTGTGCGGTTTCATTACGATATAGAGAAGGACATTAAAGTTCTTTAGCCCGCGATTTTCCCTTCGGTTCTCTCTGGTCTATGCGCGAATGTCAAAAGAAGCATCAAAGAGGCAGAGTAGCTGAACGGGTTAGGACTCAGGTTGCTCGATCAATACAAGGCGCTCCGGCTACTATGACCGCGAAACTAGACATCTAAAGGGAGAGGGAGAGAGAGGGTCTTGTTATAGGGGCAGGAAACGGACGTACAAAATAAGAGCGAAACGCGTCTGTCACAAGAGAGTTAGAGAGAGAAAAATCACCCTGTATATACGTATGATTAAAAGTATCTCTACATACATATACGCGCATAATCAATTATATATCTTCAGCCTTTCTGTGGCGATTTCTTTTTATTTATACTCCACGTCGAGCGCGTCTGTATCGTAACTCGGATTGAAATTCCTCTAAAACGACACTCGCAATTGTATATTTTAGGTGCCTTCCTCATCCCTTTCTTCGTGATGCTCATTCTGGAGGGTGTACCCCTCTTTCTGATCGAGCTAGGCCTCGGACAACGTATGCGACAGGGTGCCCTGGGCGTTTGGAACACCATACACCCTTGGTTGGGCGGCATCGGAATTGCATCGTGTATAGTCACTTTTTTCGTTGCGCTTTACTACAACGTCATTATTACCTGGTGCTTCTACTACCTCTTCAACTCGTTAAGGGTGAGCAGATCGACAAAGTTCGTGACATGAATCGATACAGTCGAATGTTTCGAGCGGTTTTTCTCTATTTTAGCTTGAATAGATAATAAAAGTCGTTGCACCTATAACTGTATCGAATAAGCGGAAGCTATACTTTCCGCAAATTTATGCGATATTAACATTTATTGTTATTTTCATGATGGTGATCGTGTGGACAGACTGTTACCATCAATTTCGGTGTAAGTATCCATCACCTTTAAACGGCGAATAATGACACAATAACGATGCCCTTAAAGTGCTCCTTAATAATCCGTTTGAATATTCCGACGCAATTTAGCAATCACTGCCGTGGAAAGAATGCCCGAAAGTGGACAACAAGCCAATTGAGGAATGCGCCAAAAGTTCAGAGACCGCGTATTTTTGGTACAGGACCACTTTGGACGCGGCGCCATCGATCGATGACGGCCAGGGTCTCAAATGGTGGATAGTACTTTGCCTCTTGCTCAGCTGGATTGTCGTATTCTTCATTGTTATGAAGGGGATACAATCGTCCGGCAAAGTAAGTTCACGTATAATGATCAATTTGTGATACGATAAATCGCAAAGCACTGTCTGAATGCCGCCTACGCCTTGCAGGTGGTATATTTTACGTCCATGTTTCCGTATGTCGTGCTGACCATCTTCTTTGTCCGCGGGATAACGTTAAAAGGCGCGAGCGCAGGATTGGCACACATGTACACACCAAAGGTGACGATCGAAGGTTTTCTTGTAGGTGGAAAAGGCGAGTCGAGCGGCGGGAAAGGCCAGACGTCGAATAATCGACATTTCATTTCATTCGTTCAAGGTCGAGAAACTGTTGGAGCCTATGGTCTGGCTAGACGCGGCAACTCAGGTCTTCTATAGTTTCGGGCTGGCGTTCGGTTCTCTGATTGCGTTCGGCAGCTACAATACACCCGACAACAACTGCATGAGGGACGTGATCCTGGTGAGCGTGTGCAACGCGTTTACTGCCATTTACGCGAGCGTTGTCATTTTCGCCATTTTGGGGTTCAAGGCAATGACAAACGTGGACAAGTGCGTCGACAGGTAATGCGACCGCTGGAGCGGCCATCGTTTTCTAAATTCGCCATCGAACGAAGAGGGTAGTAGGCAGATAGAAGGCAGATAAAAAGAAAAATAAAAGACAATAGATGTGCCTACATCGTCTACAGCTGCGAGATGTGTCCTTAAACGGCCACGATGATTCAAGATACATCGTCGCTTCTTTATCAACTATATTATCGAATAATTATGATAACTCGTGCCATATGACTCAATTTAATTATATTAATTCGTAACATCTGATCGACTAATATTATATAACAATAAGGGCCTTTGCACGTAGAAAAATTTTAACCGTAACCGTAAGGTCGTAAGAAAACTGACCAATCAGAGTTGATTATTCTCCTTGCGTTCGAGAAATAATCGACTGTGATTGGTCAGTTTTCTTATGACCTTACAGTTACGGTTAAAGTTTTTCTACATGCAAAAGCCTTTACTGTAATACCGATACCGGATAAAATTTCTATTACACTTGCTAAAACGAAAATATATCTTATCGCGATACGATTTAACTTAATTAATCGTAAAAAGAAACAAATAAAAAAATATTTCTCCTTTAACTAAAAGGAAGAGGTAATGGAAAGTAGTACTAAAAATAATGGGGATTTCAGGACGCCGAGTCTAACATGGAAAATGAATTTCTCGCGTATATTAATTCGAGAAAATTTTCCGAAGCGTGCGCGCGCGTCTGATACTGTTAGAAATAAATATCTTTCTGAAGACAAATTTAAATTTTGTACCAAGATCCGCGATGACTCTTATAATATTGTGTTATACCATACTTTAAATTAATTTAATTAAATTGCTTAAAGTCAGAGATTGGCAGTGAAGTATTTGAAAAGGGAAGGGACCGAGTCGTAGAGGGACGGGACATGTATAATAATCGTTAGCGTGGCGAACAACAGGGGGACACAGAAGATACGTTAAATCGCTTTCGTTTTAGCGCGAAGGAAGTCCTGATAGATAATGGAATCTTGCCTAATTCAACCTCGTTCAAACTCGAGGACTACGACCTCTTTATGAGCACTTTCAACTCTTCAGCCATGAACGTCACGATGAAGACATGCAGTCTCAGCAAAGAGTTGGACAACGTGAGTCAATGTGATATTGCCATGAACTCGTATGGGCCTACAGTCGCGAAATAATGAAGCGATAATTGCTTTCAGGCCGCCGAGGGTACTGGACTGGCTTTCATCGTGTTTACTCAGGCCATCGTTGAATTGCCAGGCGCGCCATTCTGGTCCTGTATCTTTTTCATGATGCTTCTCGCTCTTGGCTTGGGTTCTCAAATCGGAATACTCGAAGGCATGCTGTGCGTGATCTTCGATATAGATTTGTTTAAAAGAATAAAGAAACAGTATATGACAGGTGAGCGCTATTGACGATTTATGAAACTATCAAGAGCAGATATTATAAATAATATGTTCTAATTAGCTTGGGCTTTGATATAACTCGTGAGTTTTAATACGATGCACGTTTTACATGTTAAAGAAACTTATCTGTCAGTCACGACATTCATTGAAATATTCGCTTCAAATGTCCAATTCACTGTTTCAGGAGTCGTCTGTACGATATGTTTCTTCGTGGGACTCATCTTCTGTACCGGTGCGGGCGAATACTGGCTGAAGATGTTCGATAGTTTCGCCGGCACCATCGGTCTCGTTATGGTAGCCCTCATGGAAATGATCTCTGTAGTTTTCGTGTACGGTCATGAAAAGTAAGTCGAAAAGTCACGCTACTCTTCCCTTTCTCTCTCAGTATAGGACAGGTCAATAATCACGTAAATGCGCAACGCAGATTCACGAAAGATATCGAAGAGATGACAGGACACAGACCAGGAATTTACTGGCAAGTCACGTGGCGATTTCTCGCTCCCATTATAATGGTGTGCATACTGGTATCTAGTGTCGCCTCCATGTTCATCAAGAAGCCGCAATATTCGGCGTGGGACGCGTCGTCGGTAAGGAAAACTACAGCGATACGTACAATAAACTACATAAATAAATACCTTAGCATTGTAATTATACTTGATCAAATGATTCTCAACTTTGAATATTGCATCTGCATGTGGAAGTAAAGTTAGAAGTCATGGGAAACCCCATTAAATAAGCGATAAGCTGCATTTGTACAAAACTTAGCGTGCAAATTAGCCAAGAATTATTGGTGGAAGAAATGGATTTCGAATTCCTACGTGAAGATCACGGTATTGTGTGAATCACGCATTCTCATTTACTTTCAGGGCATGGCAATACCTACGAGTTACCCCGGCTGGGTGTTGGGCATCGCTGCTGTCATCATTTTCGCGGGTATCGCACCGATCCCGATAGTTTTCCTCTTACGACGATTCCAATGTGTGAAACTCGACGTTGACATTCATCAAGGCAGTATTCGACGTATTGATACTACGGTATCCACCAAGGAGATGATGGGCGACGTTGACGTGAGTAGAGTTCGCCGTCCTATAATCAGTAGTCGATATGTATCTACATGTAGAAACCTTGAGCTGTGGCTGTTGGAAGATATGTGGTAAAAGAAGGAAAATGTGTCCGTGAAGATAGCGTTATGGCTTGTTGTGGACGTTCGTTGATGGAATGTGTAAAGATCGCGACAGAAAAACCCAATAACTCGACATACCGAAGATAAACGAAAGCACGTTGCCTTACCCCTCGAAATAATTGTCTTTCTGGACAAGTAGCATTGTTTTTCCCCCTCGAATTAATTGTTTTCGATAAGTAGCATTGCTCTTCTCCTCGTGATAAACGTTTTAAATGAAGTAGCGGCTTAATTAGCGCACCACGGGCTGACGAATATCATGGTTTTAATCGTAGCGTAGCTATTTCGCGATTAACACTTCGGACTCGCCAACGTTCCCCGTTGGATGCATCTTTTTATATACATATTGTCGAAACGCTTCGTCGCTTTATCGTTGGATGCGTCAGAAGAAATCGAATTTTTGAATAATTAGTTTCTGCCGTAAAACGTATGCCATTGTGTGTGTGATTAGCATTCATCGAATTTCACATCTATTAGGCTGTAATTAATCGCGTTTTGCATAAAAGAAATTAGACAATTCGGCTATCTAAGGGTTACACGGACCCGTTTGTATTCGTGATGCCGCTCGCGTCGAACCCGTAATACCTTACGGCGCAATTGTTGTTCTCATGGTGAGCCAATTAAGCGCGTGTGCGATTTAGGTAACTCACATTTGAACGTACGATCTGCAGTTGTAGGTAAGCATCCATTCTGTCTGTGGTAACGTCGATTACTCGATATCCCCGTAGCTACGTTACACGTGAGTTCAACATTTTGTGAATGCATCCTGACGAGTACAAACATTTTGTGAATGCATCTTGAATGTTACTCCTAGTGCATTCATCGTCACACGTACACGGCATTATCGCGCGGACGTCGCGGAGCATCACTCGATTATTCGATTATTCGCGCCTCTAAGTACTTCCTTCTTCCCTTCTCTTTACCGCGCAATGAATAACACTCACTTGATATGATCTCGCTGGTCATTAGTGCACGATTGCGAATAGCGAGAACATACCATGCCGATATTTCCGATCAAATTTAACGCGTTCATACTAATACATTCATGATCGAAGTATCATCATGGATAGAATGCATGATTAGAAATTTCCGAAATTTATATCATAAACGAACTTTCTATACGCGTAGAATAGAAATCAGATAGGAAAGTTAATATCGAAAATTTCTCAAAATAAAATTACTTTTACGAACACACAATATTTTCAGTATACAAGTATTTTTAATTTAATTTATGTTTGAGGTACTTATCTCTCTAAATTTTAAGCATCATAAAATACTACTTATCAGATACTGCACGTTTAATACGGTTTCTTATACTAATATCCCCGAGTTAACAAGATCTTTATAATAGTAATAAATTATAAGAGATAGGCCTTTACGTATTTTTAAAACAGGAAGACGTGAGTCATTGCAATAAGTGTATATCGAACGATTGTCGTTAATGTTATAACACAAATCTAGTTCCATGCCAATGCACCGAATCAGTATGCTTGCTTTCGACTTTGTGGCGAGGGTCAGCTATACAGAGGTTCATCCGAGACGTAGATCACTCATGATGCAGAATTTCTCGATTCTTATCGAAGCTACGATCACGCGTACATCCTGGCAGTGAGAACATTATTTTGAAATTGTCCCTTTGTCGTAGCTCTTGGCAAGACCAATTGTCCGTTTTGATTTTTAAAGTCGAATTTGATATTTCACACTTTAAAAATGAAGATTGTAGCTTCGTGATTCTTTTCTCGTAGTTGGTCTATTTGATATTATAAACATCTAATATCAACTCCTTAATTTTCAGCTTGATGAATATCATGATCGTCTAGAGGACTTTCCGGAGGAAGACGAAGATGTCAACAGCGACGACGATAACAATGCCGCGCCGCCTATGAGCAAAATCGCCAACAAGGAAATGCAGGGTAAAGCCTTTAAGATGGAGGTGATGAATTTTTAAAGAGCGCATAATCGCCGTGACTTCTTCCGTTCGTTTGCCAGTTGTACTCTAACGTATAGGTGTACGAAGCTGGATATCGACAGTGATTATACATATATAAGGACCGAACAATGTGTATTGAAGTCTGTCGATTGTTGAGTGTTAAGCTTGATACTATATGAAGAGTTATGTAACAACTATGCAACATCAGTTATTAATTTGCAAACATTTACGGAAAATTATATTTTAATAGTTACAATATATCAGGGATACTTGTAACATTATAGACATTGCGTGTACGACGTCTTTAATTTTGATCAAAGGAATCATTTATTACTAGGGAAGAACCTGCTCAGATAGATTTTCGATGAAAGTTCACTCAAGGTTTGGTCTTTATATGTCTACAGTCATTGGTATTTCGGGGCCGTGCGTCCTTACCACAAACGTCGAAATATAGAATATGTCGACCGGTCTTTCCGTACGCCTGTTATTTCAGGATTATAGGTAGATAGTCAATTAACTGTAGACAACTAATGCAGAAGTCGCAGAATCGACAAAACAGTTTTAATATGTTAAGTTCCTCACGTATGAACTCGCAAAGAATTCGGAAGAAACGATTTTGCCGCGAATGGAAGGATACGTCGTATAGGGAATTTCTTACTTTAATTCGTCACAATATTTGGCTGCAACAGTTTTCTAAGTTGGCGATAAAAGAACACAGAAGCATTCGAGATCGCACGTCGAAAAAATTGCGTTTTATTTCACGACGCTTCTACGCGCTGGCCCATTCGCGAGTTCGGTTCTTCAAGGCATCAACGCGTCCGAAATTTGCGGGCATTGACGCTAGTTGGCACTAGTTGACGAGAAAGACTCGCGCACTGCACGCCTATGAATAGGATCACGACCACGTGGTCGAGTGGCCGCGTGATCAACGGTCAGCTGACGACGAGTTGGTGGGGGCAAGGCCGCATTCCAGCCGTATTACGTAAACAAGTTATGCTGTCGGAATGTGGACTCTGTTCCTACCCACGCGTGACGGAATTCAGTATGTCCTGATGAGAGAAGACGAGAGGTTCAGTAGCACCGAACAGAGCTGAATGGTGTCGAGAAGGGATCAAGAGAGTATGCTTCAATATGATTGTCGATATCTTCGCTTTTGAGAAACTAATGATTTGAAATATAAACTATTAGTCGAGACTTTCGTGGAATGTACTGTTTGAATGCTTTGGTTCATATACTGAGCTCTTTTTTATCGCTAAAAGCGTCTCTAAAAGTGACTTATAACCAATCAATGGACTTATAAGCCATATTTAGAGGCGCTTTTAGCGATAAAAGAGAGCAGAATATGGACCAATATTTGCATCAAAGTCTCTTTGATTTTAGTAATTAAAAAATTATTGAAGTTTCGAACTTTAGTATCAGCCACTTTTCAGTATATGTAATGGAACGAAGAGCTCTCTCACGGAGATGTGTTTGTGTGTGTGTGAAACGTTGAATAAATTAATTTACGGACTCATTGAAATTATAAGACTGTATTTTGTTAAAACTGTTTTGTCCGTTTCCGCGGATTTTATTAACCAATATAGCGTTTACGTGTAATCCTGAAATAATCTGTATACACGAGTCTTCGCGTTTTAGATGTAGGGTAAGTCGTGAATTCGCTAAAAATCGAGCTCAATCCGTCAGATCGAATGCGCGTCACCCTGAAAGCAATATGTAATACGGAGTTTTAAAGACATAGTGCGAATACGAGGTCAGTCGTGTCGACAGCTCGTTATTCGTGCTTTATCGTCGAATGTCGCGCTTCCGGATAGAATCGCGAATCACCAGGTGGATTATGATAGGTACACATAGCGGAGAAAAATAAACAAAGTAAGAGAAAGAAAAACTTAGCAAAGAGAATAGGACGTTCTGGCTTTTTAGTATCGCGTGATGCAATACACGATCGGACGTGCGAACGTTGATTTCGTCCGAATCAATTGGATTTTCGTTGAAAATTGATCGTGATTTTTACTTTCGGATCGATAGTTTTTAAGAAACGTTGAAGAGACTAGACAATAAAATCGAATGTAGTCGAGTTAGCCATACGCGTAGCTGATTTGTTTACCGTTCTCTCAACACGGCCCCGATCAGAAGCAGGAGAGACCGGAGCGAGATGTTATATTTTTTTAGAATTTCGCTGTTAAAATTTTTCAGATAACTAATTATCATGATTGGAATGTGAGTTGCATCATGGTTAATATGTCCTGCTGCCAGGACAAGTTAACCCTTTCGTGCCTCTGGGACATATATGTCCCACTTACAAAAATCATTATAACTTTTAAACAAATAGTCCTATTGACTTCTACCTTAACTTGTTTTAAAGATGAAGATTCAAGGTACACGTACAAACTATCGCACATTTTGAAATGTTTTCAGTAAAATATAATTATTTAAACATTGCTAAAAATCCAACTTTTAGGTAGTAAAAAATAATTTTTTATTATGTCAAAAATTCATTGAATTATGCTAATTATATACTTAAAGTCTGACCGCAGTACATGATAGCTTTATCAATTAGAAAGACTTTGTGTTTTCACCCGTGCAATTGTATACTATGGTGGTCGTTTTTTCGCAACTCTAGCGGACATATTTGCATACTGGCAATAATGTACTCAGAAGTTCCTTGTAACAGTTATGCGAAATATATTATCTTAACTCGAAATTTTTACATTCGAATTATAATTAATATTCAGAAAAAAAACATAATTCAAACTTTTATCTTGAATATATCGATATTTCAGCATTTCATAACCACTATCTTGAATTCACTATTTTGAATTTCAATTTTGATAGTTGATTTGAAATCAGCGCTCCCGAAAACCTATAGAACCGTCTCCATATAAAATGCATCTCTTCTGAGAAAGCCGGAGGCACGAAAAGGTTAAGCATGCAGCTGCAGAAAACTTTATGCTAATAGAACGTCACTTGAATTTATTCACTCACGATGAAAAACGTTAACGCAAAATTTCGACTCGGAAATTTACTGCGTTTTTTATAAATCAGACATTTTTTCTTTTTCAATTGCAATATTTTCTCGATTTTACTGAAACTCAGGGAAAAATACTTATATTCGAAAAGAAACATTTTGCGATTATTTCCGCTATTCTTCTAACGTAAATACATAATCAATACGTATGACTAATGTGATTATTGGGTTAACTTGAACCGGTCTCCCCTATATGATCTCAATTCCTCCGAGGTTCTACCTTATGCATACCATTACGGTCCCAAAATCGATCGACCTTGGCTCCAAGAGTCCCTGAAATTTAATATAGCTTTCGAGATACTAGACGAATTAATTCTAGCTTCAATTTGTTAATTTCAGTTAAGTTAATTGCGTTGGCACTTGCTCAATAAGACACTGTTGAAACGCTTTTGAAAGAGAAGAAAAGATTAATTCGTATCTCTGCGTTACACTACAGATGTAATTTATGTTTTAAAAGCCTGGTAGAAAGTAGAAAGGGATTTGAGATATATAATATAAAAGATTACACTCGGGGACGATGTGGAATCTCGGTCGATCCGTTTGCATTACTTATTCGTACGTTCGGTCCTCAGTTCGACAAGCATTTGCATAAAATAAATGTCGCGTAACTTACATTTTTAATCGGTGATCAATTAATCAAACTGCGCTGCAAGAGCGTAATTATTCGTGCAGGCTCTAAAATTAGATTAGGTTTTTTTTATAATTTTTATTCAAGCACGCGACCGTCATTACAACCTTGACGGAGTGCCGTTTGTTTTACTACTAGTATACGTCACAGAATGATATATTCTTTTTATTGGTAAATTAATTTCGCCAGGAAAAATGTGAATTCGAGGCGTCACGCGGTGCCATTAAATGAACGTGACATCTTGACGAAAAAACGCATACCGGTGTGCGAAATAAATTTATTCAGTGGATATCAACTAATAGTTAAATTACAACAGTGTTATAATTTCCTACTCTTTAACGTATAACTGTTACATAACACTCGCATTATATTTACATATTGTCAAGTGGAAAGTTATAACACTGATGTTATCTGACACAGCATAAATGTCGAAAAGATATCTTAGAGACGTCTGAAATATATTATACTTGTTATGATTGTCTTTGGAATATCTGTAAGATGTATTTTAGACATTTGTGTTGTTTGGGATGTTACCTATAGTTGCTATTTACCGGGTATAGAGTGTATTCGGCATCGTTTTACACGACGGGCGTACAACAAATGGAGTAAGCGTGAATCTCTGTGTAATAAACGCAAGTAAATTACGCAAGTATATATATACATATATATGTATATATATATGTATATATATATATATATATATATATATATATATATATATATATTATATATAAGTGTAGCATGTCTCAGGTAAGCGCGGATGAAATTTCAAGTCTCTTCACAGCTGTCAGGAAACAGTCTTTCGAGCATAGTCTCTGATATTTTTAGACGTGTGTGTAAGAGAAATCCGTAAATAGATATCTAATCCATAAATAGATATCTTATTACTTTCTCGTCGTGTTATTGCTTGTGACGGTGCATCGAACAGTAATTCCTGTTTCTTGAAACGTTCCGATCAGATCAGGCGATTTGTGCAACAACGACAAATCACATCGTGTGCACGATCAAAATTTGCACGTTGTGTCCGAGAGCAGCTCCTCTTTCGCGTTCTCCTCACGAACGCGCGAAAAGAGAGGCAAGAAGGCCATTACGGATTATAGGTTTCCCTTTCGCGAAGTAACTCCTCGAAGTGTTGAGCGCAAGTATACCGTTGTTTGGCTGGCCCAGCTAATTTAGGTATCAAAATACCTAAATTTCGCGTTAGAATGATCAACGAGCGACGTACGTCGGACGTCGGTCGGTAGTACGTCGGGTTCCATCTGCTAAGTTCTCGTCCGTAAGAAAATGTGATACCGGTGTATGCCGGTCGAATAATAACCGTGATGTCAATAATAGGGAAGAGTGCGAAACTCTGGGAATCGCGTTCGCCGCGCGCGGCCTCTCCGCGAGGTATTTCGCGCGAATGCGTTATACGATCCAGCCCGGAAACGTCCCACCACTGATCATTTTGTCTTATTTACATTGTACATATTTCAAACTGAGATTTGTTAATTGCGCGAACCTGCGAGAACATGTACGACAGTGCCACGATTAATTCGCGAACGACCGCAGATGATTATTTAATCGGTGATGATCGGTGCACAAGTTGACAAATATGTTTTCTCCGATATGAATATTTGCGTGAATGTTCGTTTTTGACGATGAGAATAGAAAGGGCTATGCATTTTGCATGAGAAACCTGCAGCAAATTGTTCCTTTTCATTCGCCGCTTCGTCGCCCTTCGTATGTTGCGTTTGAATGTCCGCGAATTAATGGTCGGCACTGCGAAAGCGAGTGAGACAAGTACGTTCAGATTGTAAGGAAGGAAGGAAAGCGATGTAAGATGTAAAATAAGAAATTCGATGAGGCGTAACGCGTGTGCCATGTGTAAATAGTAAATAGGCGTTATGCCATACCGCATCTAAATTATTATAATACCTCGTGAAGTACCTATTTTTTTGAATCGCGTAGGATAGTGACAACATCGTACCTTACTTATTTTCTTCCCTTTCTATGTCATATAAAGGGCGCATCTTCTTTCTTCTTGTGCATAAGGGACACAAACTTAGACTGCGCTCCGATATTCGCTACATCGAAGAAAAAATTGAGTTGGATTAACCAAATGTCTGTGGTGGGACATGAACGAACCGGAATTTTGACTGAAATTACCAGAATTCTGTGTTCAAATTAACAAGATTTTGTTTAATATCTGATCAACATAATCTTATTAATTACTTGCAATTGCTCGACTTGAATAGTTGCAATTTCTGCTTAACTGGAAATTTTGTTACTTGAACAAGAATTCTGACAACTTTAACTGGAATTTCTATTTCGTTCATATCTCACCAGATATTTATGTAATCCAACAAAGTTTGTTTTTCCATGTGTGCCAATACTGAAAATCTATAGTATACGTAACATGAATTATATTTAGATTTTCAGTACTGGCAGCGAATATCGGAACGAAGCCTCACAGGCTAGTCGTTTAAGCGCGAAGGCACGAGTGGACAACGCGCGTGCTGTATTTTTCCTTTTCACGTGAGTTGTATGATAAGAGAATAATCGTTCATCGTCCTCATGCCGAATTACGATATAACGTCGACTTGTGATGTGAGACGCGCGATGTAGCAAAACCGGATTCTCCTCCTCAGAAACGTTCCTTTTAACGATTAATCATCTTCATCTACCGTCCGTGGTCATATGGCATCACTGAGAAGCTGCGAGAGGCTCATCATTTCTGTATATTATTTATCGCTTTTACGTCTCAACTGACATTTTTGCACGGAAGGCGTAACCCATGAGAGAGTGTTTATTATTTTAGGACAATCAAACCTTACTTTCTTCTGACTTATCCGCGCGCGTTACTCTTTTATCTTTATCGAAATGCGATTCATCATCGAAAGTGTGCATGACTTTATCGTGACCATGCGAGTATTATTGCGAGGTAAAGATATGCAGAAGGAAAAGTCGCTTACACGTAACGAAGGAACACAAGGGATATTATCCGAGGCTCAAAATACAGCTTTGAATCAAAAGGGATCGATGTGGCGCACGTTAAGGAGCATTCGCGATCGTCGTCCGACCCTCCCTCTTTCGAACTATACGTACATTTGTAAATCCCACGGAACCGTCTTCAACGATTTAAAGATTAAAGATTTAAATACAACGTTGTTTGGCCTATCTTCTTATCGAGAATAAACAAGAAAACTGAAAAAGTATTAAATGGCACCGATAAACCAAAGGTTAAACGCTTATTCTACTCGTTTCTGTATTAGATAGATCTCGAGTTTCGCTTATAAACGTTTGTGTGTCCGATGCGCTCGGTAATTCCTCGAAGTGATATGTACATATAGTTAACGTAACTGTCATAATTAATGTTGAATAGTTCTGTCCTAGGCTGCTAAGATTCGGTTCCGCGCAGTCCCCTCATCGAGAGAAAGAGGTTCTCGTGCGGGAGAATTCCTTGAGTTCTGCGTTGAAGTACGAAGAGGAAAACGAGTATTATTATATACCTGCGTTTTTCGTTAGGACTAGGTTTACACGAATGCGTAATTGTAATTACTTTTAGTGTCCGAGGAGATCGATTTTCCATAGTAAGCGAGAGTACTTCCGATTGTATTTTATTGCTCGACACACTACATACGTTTTTGATAGCGCGAATGCTCAATCCGTTAATGTAACTTATTCTTGAACTTGAGCATTATCGCAGTAATTTTTAGCGACTGAAATTTAGATATTTAATAGAGCACACACTGTACACAAAATTCAAAGCGTTTAAATAAAAGCTTATTTATTGCCGAAAATGGGTCTTGCATTTCCAAGGATCTATAGTTGCACGATATTATAATATATTCCCAGTAAACACAAAGTATCATCGATGTTACAATATCAGTTCAATCATATGGTATATTATATAATTATTACTTTGTTATATTACAAAGTAACAGTTACATAATATGATTGAGCTGACATTGTAATATGGATGATACTTTGTGTTTACTGGGTTATATAGTGGCGTTTTATCTTTATATCTCTCTCTTCAACATTATTTTGCATGTCACTGAAAATTCCGCGAGCACGACTTAATTTTTTCGTTACCAACGGGTATATGTTTTCCCCATTAATAATAACCTTATTTAATTGAATGAACAACTTTTTCCCCATTAATAATAACCTTATTTAATTGAATGAACAACTTTTTTGACATACAAAACACTCAGCTATCACTCTACTTATTATCATTGGAACAAATATATCCTTCTGAAACCCCAATAGAGCATGTCCCAGCCTTATTCTTTTCGCAACAAATATAAAACTTTTAATTTTTTTTTGCTAAAACTACATTACATATTAATATATTCAATAAAGTAACAGTTTAAAAAGCTTTTATCTTTAAAAACAAAATAGAAAAAAGATTAAGAAAGAAATTCGCCCGCGAAACAATCAAAAAGTTATACAGCAACGAAAATTTCAAGAATTCGTTTAAGTCTCGAGAATGAGAATATGCGACGAAGTTTCGTTTTTGTTCTAGTCCAAAGTTCCAATATGTGAATTCTTATATGTGCATTTGAAGTTACTATGCATCTTCTTAAAATAGAACTTCGATACAGTATGTACATATGTATCTCGCGTCTTCTCATTGAAACACGTAACAATATTAACCTTGATAATCGCTGCATTCGCTGTCATAGAATAGTTGTTTACGAAACGTAATATCATGATCGAGCCCTCCCACGTAACATTTACAGTAAAGCCTTATCTGCTGCAGCGAATTACAAAGTCGCATAACGTCGTGCTTAGCAGTACGTGCGGTAGTGCGCGCGGTGGACAGTACGTTTTGCAAGTAACGCCAATTGGCGCTATTGTAATTACTTGAGAAATGGACACTAGCCGAGATAAAAATTCCGATAACGAGTTTAATTTAAAGTGCGTGAGTGCGAGCGATGTGGAAGCGACGGATTTCGATGTGGCTTGCGCGCATAAAATGGAAGCTTGTCGTAACAGTAACCACGTGACAAATATAAAAGGAGCGACGGAGTTTCTCGTGAAATATCGAGGCCGCATTTACGATGTAATTAATTTTTTGGATTATCATCCTGGCGGCAAAAACATGCTCGTGCGTCATAAGGATCGAATTTTAGACGAAGCGTTAGTGAAACATCCGCATTCCAAGTCCGCTTACTACCTTCTCGAAGAGTTCGCAGTGCATCGCCAAGAAAGATATAACGAATGCGAAGTGAGTTATTCATACATGAGAAAACCGACGAGTTGTTCGCATATTATGAAAGGAAAAAAGTCTATATTAAAATATTCATTCTTTCATTATTCAAGAAACTTTTTAAGTTCGAGCAACGAACAAATTTATACTTCCAATTTCAGAAAATATAAGTGTTAATGGTTAAAAATAGATAATAAATCGCGTATACATTTTAAATCGTCATAGAGTTATCTAATGGTTTGCTTATAGCACTCTATTTTTATAGTACTTGCACGTAGCACTTTATCTGAAAGTTTATCTCGTTTTATCTCCATGACGCAAACAAAACATGTCGAGATAAACCGACAAATAACGGGATTTTATTTTATCAGAGCTTTTCATAGTGATATTTATGATAAGAAGTAGAAATATAAAACGATATTAATTGAAAAATTTTTAATATTTCCGATTATTTTTAATTCTTCCTAATCGCGCAGCTGTGTTATACAATTTCAAAATTGTTTATTTTGATTATTATTAATATACGAACAATAAAAAAATAATGCTTGTGTCTGACAACTGCAAAGAAGGTTATAAAGTCACAACATGATATCAAAATTATAAACAAAAAATTGTTAAAATTCTTTCAAAATGTCGTATAGGTGGCGAATGAGAATATAATTGTATTAAATGTTAAGAAAATAAAGAATAATGAGGCATTTTTTATTTAGAAAAAAGAACGAATATTATGAGACAGTACTTTATTTTAGAATCTGATAAACTGGGACGCGCCGATTTTATGGCAAGTGAGCCTCATGGGCCACCGTTACTGGGAATGGGTAAACTTGCCGGTAAACCGACCTATTCGATTTTTTCAATCGGACATTTTAGAAATATTATCGATCACGCCGTGGTACTTAGTGCCGGTCGTCTGGGTTCCTCTGGCTATATATTTCTTTTACACGGGATGTGTTCTGAATATTTCAACAAACCTCGGTAATTTGCACTCGTATAATATACGCGAGATAAAAATGTTCTTGAAACACATCTTAAGTCGTCGTAAAGCTACTCCGCGAATTTTCCGTTTCAGTCGTTTCATCGCAGAAGATCCTACTGTCGTTCACTCTGGGGATTCTTATATGGACCCTCATGGAATATTTCGTGCACCGAAAAATATTCCATCTTAAACCACCGCATAATTCGAGACTATTAATTACTCTGCACTTCTTGTTTCACGGAAACCATCATAAGGTAACACTTTCTCACGTGACATTTTAAATTGGATGTTAATAATAATAATAATGTAATTTTAATTACCGGTTACGTTAATAGGCACCGCTGGATGGACGGAGATTAGTGTTTCCGCCGATATTTAGCGTCGCTATGGCGGGAGTACTTTGGCAAATTTACAAGGTCGTGTTTCCTCTAACGATGGTCCATCTCATCGCGGCTGGTACTATAATAGGTATGCTATTTTTATGAGGTCCATAGATTACAAAGTATTTCTCATCGACATTAAACAATCCGACCTCTTGCGCACAATCAAACGTCGCAATTTTATAATTGCAATTTTAATATCCACTTTTTACAGGCTACTTATGCTATGATTTGACGCATTATTACTTGCACAATGGAGCTCCAAAAGTTGACTCATATTTATACACGATGAAAAGAAGACACAACTATCACCACTTTGTGTATCATAATCAAGGTAATTGCTGAAGATTATCAATAACAATTTACTAAAGAGAATTGATTATTTCTTATTGCAGGATTTGGCGTTACTAGTGAATTGTGGGATCAATTACTCAAAACAGATCTGACTTTGCGAAAATTGGAAAAACCTTTAGAATGGTGAAATAAAATGTATATTAACATTCTTGTATTAATTAATATTTATTTTATAACATTCCTCTCTTATTTTGTGAAAAAAATTCGTCAATGTTATAATCACAACTGTAATTATGATAAGTATACTAAACACATTGTAACAATAAATACATAATATTTTATCTTTATAATAATTGATTTATAATTTATTAATAATTTAATCTTTATAATAACGCGCGGAATATTGCACGCAAATTTAATTTCAGCTCTATAAGAGATTTAAGTACAGGTAATTCTTAAAAGAGATTCAGTAGTTTTGTATTAATTAACGATTAATCGAGATTCAGTAGCGCTGCAAAACGAGACAATTAAATAACACTGTAATCTCGGAAGAGTTACGTTTGAAATTTGCTCGTGATGCGATAAATGCTATATCCCATCCAACACAAAAGTTTCAAAAAGCTTTCAGAAAAGTTTCAGAAACATTAAACCTTTCTAAGATCTTTCTGAAATTTTTTCCAAACTTTTGTGCTGTATGAAACATTTATATAGACAGTTTTATTATAACGGACTTGATATCTTAAGTACATAACATTGCATTATTAAGTACATCGCATTGTAAACTCGTTATTTATCTCGTTTCAAGCCTAGTATCACACATACGTTTGAAGTAAATAAAGAAGTACGTACCGCGCATATGTATATATACGGTTATTGAGATCTTGGAGCACGTCTCTTTATCGACGCACAGATTGGTGTGCGTCCGATCATTACGAAATAATGATCATTATGAAATAAATTATACCTGAGTACAAAAGTCATGCAAACGATTCTCATGTCGTGCCACGATTCAAGCTTTCGCGTAATTCCACTGAATTTTTCGAGAACAGTCATCACTGTGCTTCCGCCTTCACGGTTTTTCTACCCATGCTCAACTGCGGAAATGTACTTTTGTTGGTTGGAGGATTCAGCTTGGACGACAAATGCACAAACGCCTCGTACAAACTAGTTCTGTCCATAACGTTTACTTCGTAATGCTTGACCTTCTCCCTGGTGCACCAGTTAGTGGCTTTGCTCGCGGTGTTCTCTAAGTTATTTAATACAGCATCAGTTTTCGACCGATTACCTATCACTATCACAGTTATTTCTTTCTTATCCTTATTCTTATCGATATCTTTCTTCAATGGAAAAAGTACGTCAAGGGACTCTGGTTTGCCTGTATCATATACTAAAACATAGCCATCTGCAAAACCCAGATAGTGTCGTGGAAGCTGCTGATTATTCGTATTACTCTGTAAGGATTCCAGCCCAGCTGTGTCATAGAACCTGACTTTCTCCTTTGTGCCCCGATCAGTCTCAATGTTGGTGACATAAATGTCCTCAATTGTGGGATGAATCTCCTGCAAATTTGTTACAATTATATCAATCATATTTTATGAAATTTTATACATTGTGATATCTTAGAGAAAAATAGGTTAGACCAACTGAGACAAGCAAATTTTGATTATTTCAGATACAGATATTAAACAAAGCAATTATAACAAACAAACTTCATCAATATCATATTTTATTTATTGTTAAAGCAATACTTAACAAATCTGTAAGTCGAAGATTATTAAGGCAAATGTCTCAGTGTGATTAAGCCAATAAGAAAGCACGATCAGCTCTGCATTTTTATTAATAAGTAATTAATAAAATTACTAACAAAACTAATATAAAACTTTGGTTTGTTAGCTATCAAAAAATAATAGAGAATAAAATAATCAATAAATATTAATTATAATTTTAATGAAATATTAGATAATACCAGTTGTATCAGCAACTAAACTGAAAAATAAATCAAGCCCTAATTACTAAATAATACTCAATGACTGAGGTTTATTAAATAATATTACAAATTGGCATAAAGAAATATCTCTCTTTTTAATAAAACTACGAAGACTTTCTCTCTCTCTCTCTCTCTTTTAGAAATATTAATTACAATTAAATTATTAATGTTTCAATCACACTGGGACATTGTACAATTACTGTGATATTTACCTTAAGTTTATGTAAATTAAGTAGGTAACCTAAATTCATACCGTTTTCGCATCTATGTTTCCGTACACGAGTTGTTCCAGCAAAGCGGTTTTCCCGACTCCTTTCATCCCGCAAACAACTACTCTCGTGGTCTTCCCCATACCTAGGATCTAATTCGTTCACTAGGTATGGACTCTTTCGCGTAATGACATGAGAAAACCGTGAAACACTTGTTTATGTCGTTCTACTCGTGTTGCTAGTTGTGTGGAGACGCGTGGGATGGGAATGCGGTTTCTGATGACATCAGAAAGTGATACTTTTCGTCATTACTTTAAAAAGATTATTTTTCCGACGTTATCAAACTCAAACATATGTGACGATAAATTTTTTTAAATAATAAATTTTATCTTAAATAATTATCTTATTGACGACAAGGAGATTTCCTGACTTGCCGTTTAACCGTATTACTTTAAGCAGAGAGAAGCCTGAGAGCGGCCACCAGCCTGATTTTAGTGGACAGAGCTAGACGCATTTTCGAGACGCCATCTAACAAAGTACGTTCGTACTACATTCGTTAGACACATTTTCGCAGTGGTAACGATAAAATGCGTCTGGCTCGTACCCGTTGACTTCCGTCACAGATGTCTATACTAAACTAGATTACTAACAGGCTATCTGATACCGCAATAGATTGTTCTAGTTGTTCCAAACATTGTTCCAAAAGGATAAATCCGTAAGTTGAATTATAAGTCCAAAAAATGAAAAAAATGTTTTTGAAAATGGCACCCCATTTTTTGAAAATAAAGCATTCCGAATGTTCGATTTTCGAAAAGTGGGGTGTCAGCTCAAAAAATCATTTTTTTTTGTTTTATTCGAAAACCGTTTCGAATGAAGCAATATCACTTTGAAACAATGTGATACAAAGTCAGAACAATCTGAAACAACTTTCAAAATTACAAATTTTAAAAAGTGGGGTGCCAACTTCATACACTCTAACTGTGGCCATTGAAACAGGCTAGTGGCCGCTCTCATGCTTCTTTATGCTTGAAGATAAAAATCTGCAGAACTTCATTGAAGCCGCAATCCGTTACACGCTCCCAACGGCTGCAAGTGTCATTCTATCTTTGTTTAACATCCAGTAAGCAACAAAGATAGAATGATGCTCACAGCCGTTGGGAGCGTAACGGATCGCGACCTGAGTCGTGCCACGACCTCGTTTTTCATCCTCGAAAAGTGGCGCCTCTAACGGAGACTTTGAAACTCACTTCAACGTCTAAGCAGAAATAACGGGTCTAATGATCTCTCAGACCCTTTATTTGCTTATCTAACGTTGGTATTAAATTTTCTCCATGATTTGGTGACATTGGCGTTGAAAACAAATCAGTAGTAACGTACATACTCCGCGAATTGTCTCGCGGTTTTCGCGATTTCAGTTTGTCAAGTGCGAGTTTTGTGCCTAAATCATCGCCGGGAGTGCCGAAAGTAAGTGCTGCGCGTTCGCCGTGATGTGATTTCGTCCAGTGAATGCCCGAAATGGGTATGTCGCGAATAGATAGTCGGAAGTTCCTCAATGAAGAGCAAAAATACGAACCATTGTCGTTGCTCTTCGTATTACAAACTCGTTGGAAGAGAGTGTTACGCACGGATATTGTCGAGAGTGCCGAAAATGAGTCTCGTTTGTCATGAGGAAATATCATCAAGTAAGTGTCTAGAATAGGTGTATCGCGGAACAGGTAGTCATGTGTTCCGTGAAATAAATCGCGCGTTCGTCGCCTCGCGCGGTGCGCATCGAAACGGGAGTCATCTCAATCGCGTTGTCTCTCACGCCTCTCCGACTCGTTAAAAAACAATATTCCACGCGAATATTGTCGGGATTACGGAAAGTATGTCTTGTGCGTTCGTTATCTACACAGCAGAAATGTCCCGAAGATATCATAGGGATATTCTACAAACATTGAAATATCTTTATAATATCCTTGTGATGTATTCGGGACATTTCTGCTGTGTGAGTTATGACGAGATATCTTCAAATAAACGCCCGAAACGGATATGTCGCGAAACAGACAATCGAGAGATGTATCGTTCGTTGCTTCGCCCGGTAGCACATTAAAACGAGAGTCGTCTCAATCGCGTTGTTTTTCGCTCTCCCATCTGTTAAAGGAAAATGTCCCACGCGAATATTGTCAGGAGTATCGAAAGTAAGAAATATATTCTATAACTTTTAACGACATTGTTATGTATCATTACGCAGATTTTTTGTATTATGAAATAACTGCGCAGCGATACATAACGACATCATTAAACGTTATAGAATAGGCCCCTAAGTTTCGCGCGTTCGTCATGACGAAATATCGTTAATTGTCCGGAATGAATATGTCACAGAACAGGCGATCGGGAGAAAAGTGTCGAGCGTCACACGTTTAAAATTTTTCTCTTGTACACCTGGATTCTTATCTATCTGTCACTCGATAAACTTTCGGGGCTTATCACTCGAGAATGCGTGATTCGACGGGAAAGCGGTTTTCACTGCAATGACTTATTTTGATAATAAAGTAGCATTGTTCATATAACCTGTATTATTGTGTTTTATTATTTATTTGTCAGTAATCCGTCGATTAACTTTTCAGGTTCAAGAACCTAAAAAGTTAATCGACGGATTTAATTTAAAGTATCAATTTGTACATACCGAAAGTGTGAGACTCCAAACACAATAATTTTTAAGAACACTGCTATACCTTCACATATATATCTGAATTTAGGAGCTTAAGGGGATGCTGGAGTCGATGACGAATTTGAATAATGTCGATAATGCAGAGACGATCGTCATACATAATCATGCTATCCTTTTCGTATTACATATAGAACTTACATGAATGTGTGTTGCTTTGTTTTACCATACTCAACGGAAAACCTAACCATATATGTGCAGAAATCTTTCTGCAAACTTTTTCGATATTCTTAAGCTCCCAAATGCGGATGCGAAGATAGAGCAATGTTCTTCAAAATTTTTCTGCTTGGAGCATCCACAATTTCGGTATGTACAAGCTGCGGAACTTTTGAATTAGCCAAATATTACGCTAACTGATAGCTTGAGATTTTTCATTAAAAATTTGTTGTTCGTTTTCGACATATATCGACACATATGTTCTTATTTTTCATTTTATTTTTGCACGTACTTGTGTAAAAGTATTTGTAATTCTGTGTAACCAATACGACGTAAATTTTGCAGAAAAATGTCAGTGTTCTGTCGGTAAAGTTTTTAGCTTCAGCATTCCCTTAAGAAAATCGGAAAGATTTCTATACATGTGTGGTTAGATTTTCCGATAAATACAAAACAAAACATATTTACGTAAGTTCTATATGTACAAGAAATACAAAAAGGTTGGTATGATTGTGTTAGTAATGATCGTCTCTGCGTTATCGACATTTTTCGAATTTGTCATCGACTTCAGTATTCCTTTAAAGAAATATCAATCTTGTTTTTCTGTATGCTATAAAATGCTGCCACTTCTCACCAATCGTAAGAAATTATCTTCAGCGAGGCTTACCCTATTGATACGAGAATTATTACTATTTTAATGTTAAGGTATTAAAAATTATATTTTTTGTGATTGGAAAAATTATATTTTTCGTGTAATGGCGAACTTAGAAATATTCGTGTAACAGTTAGTGTATCTGCGTTCGCGTTTAAATATATAAAGGATTTTTATTAAACACATTAATATCTCGTACAGTCAACGTTCTATTTACATTCTTATTTATTGATCCATGACAATCTGCTATAAATTAACACAAACGGATAAATAAATAAATAAATAAATATTGGTAACGGGCTTTAACAACAATGACAATATCACGATCAATATCTTTCTCTTGAAGTTTCCGCTTCAGAGAAATGAAAATTCATAGATTAAGTGTATGGTACGAAGAGGCACACACTTTCTAGCCACCGTGGACGTTTGTATAGTATCTACGAATGTGTCCTTAGTCGTGTCTTCAGCATCTTCTCGCGGTCTTCTCCTTTGCATATGTTCGTTTTTGTATTAAACGATAAGCAAGCGAGTAAAAAACAACTGAGATAGCACAAAGTGCCCTAAAAGCAGCCAGAATGTGTCCAGAATGCTCTTAGGTGTTTCCTAGAAACGTCTTGAGCACATTCAGGATGATCTCAGGACATTTAGTGCTATTTGAGAAGTGGCACAGGAGAAGAAAGTGAGGAAGCACGACTGAGAGGAACAGAGCTTATGTAGGATTTTCTTCTACCAAACAAGTCTCCAATCTTTTATGATCGTCGGGTTACTGTGTAACAGTGAGATTGGAACGTGTTTGCAATTTGTTTACAAGCGATACCCGTAAAGCTGCCGCCAGACTACTCGATACTCGATATGATAATGAACTTTTCTGAAAACGTGTCTAACGATAAGTATACATTATATCTTTCAGTGCATTGTTAACATTTCAGTCCGTATAACAGCTATAATTCGCGTAACATAACTTATCGCATTTCATCGACTGATCTAAGGAAAATTCGTGATCGATAATTCGTATTGAATTCGGATCGAAATTCATCATGCTTCGTTGCGCGTATTTAAAATACTCTCAGTACCACCGTGTAATTGATCGATTGGTGTTTAAACAGACCGAATCGCTTTCTATTTTTGAGCAATTCGAGATAAGTGTTTGCAATATTCATAAGAAAAGTAGATAAATAGATTTTTCGAGGTCGCGCCGTTTCCACTGTAACGAATACAACGGCTCGCGCTTATTCCTTATTTTCGATTTGATCGGGAAGGAAGGAACGAGATAATGTGCGAATTTTAAAACTTAATATATACAATTAAATCCTCTCACAGTGCGCGCCGTGCGGCTGTAGAGTCAAGTGTGAAATGAGTGATTTGTAATTCTGCGGTAACGGGAAGCGAATCGTTCGCGATCCAAATTCCGAGGGGCGCTACCGGTTTGCGCCGATCTCGACGGGACTATCTGTGAGCTTGTTTTTTGTTCGTTAATTTCTGTAAGCGCGCTTTCAATCCGTGAGGACTTAGTTTCACCCTCACAACATCGGGCTTGCTCTCGAGCTTCCTACGAACTTCCTCCAGTCGTTCCTTGCATATTCGCTGTTGCTCCTTCTTCCAGATATCCTGTAAAAAAAGGAAAAAAGAGAGAAACGTCGTAATTTACAGTCGGGTCTTCTCATTTTGATTCTTTACGTTGCCTCTCTCGAACTATACCTTAAAGTCTCGGCAGAAACCAAGCCACAGATTAAAAAAATCATGCGGCTCCGCGGTATCCATGGTGGCGCCTTTGGGAATAAACTGATAAAATCGCATGACGTCCTTGAACTTGTTTTTAGCCTCCAGCAATAGCTCCTGTCCGCTTTTCAATTCGGCATTCGCTCTCGTCATAAATGAGTCCACCTTCTCCTTAAATATCTTGGACGTAGCTGGGTCTGCATTCACGACCGTTTCGCACTTCTGCGCGCACGCTAAACAGATCGATTTTACATGTAAAAAGTCCACGGACTGTCACACTCCCGCAATTCGTCCTATCGCTTACCGTGCAGCTCCTTCTCCAATTTATCGAGCTCCTTGGCTAATTCCTCGAACTTGATCGCAGAAGCGGCTTCTACGTCGGCCGGCTCGGGAATGGGTAGAGGTAACGGCTCATCGAAGTTATGTTCCTTCTCTTGGGACAACTTCGCTCTCACGACGTAGTGCAGCAGGGTGATACCTTGTGTGTTGGACTTGACGTCCTTCAGTTTACTGAGGATCTCGAGTCCGAAACCGTCCGCTTGGCCACGCATCATATTGCCACCGTTCATGTAATTGCCCAAAGTCAGTATGATGGCCATCACTTTCCTCAAGGGCTCGGATTTGATCAGAAAGTCGCAGGTTGTTTGCACATTGTTCAGTTTGTAGGAAACCGACGAAATCGCGTCTTGAAAGTCCGCCTGCAGCATCAGGCAGGCTATTCTCTCGGAGAAATGCTTGATGCCGGATAACCGTTTGAGGAAAAGTTCCGGTTGATCGAGAGGAATATCCGGATTCACTTCTTCGTGAGCTGCGATCTCTGCTATTTCCTTCTCTGTTGGTTTCTATGTGTCAAGAAACGTCGAAATAGTTTAGAGATGTGACGCAAAAATCAAGATACATTGTTAGTGATCGATATTATTATTCACTCACGATTTCGTAAATCTGTTGCAACGCCTCGAGGCTGATCACACTCGTGTCCAAGTTATAAGCCGCATTCTCGATCTCACTGAAGTCGATGTGCAAACTCTTCTCTAAAATCCCTACCATTTTCGAGCGCTTCGAGTCCAGTATTTTTGCTGGTTGCACTTTGGATTTCTTAGGTGTCTCGTCGTCGCTCTTCTTGCTTAAATTCTTCTGTCTCACTTGTCGCGAAAATAGATCCGCGAATTCCTTCATATTTATATTCTCTTCCTCGGTAAGTTCTAACCATAGAGGCGACTGAAAAACGACGCGAGATCGAGACGGAAATTATACACTATACATTCGAAGTAATCGTTATCACGTCGGCAAACACGTTTTTATCATTACCATTCTTTGTTTCTTATTTACCTGAAGCGGTGATGATGATTCTGGAGCCTCTACGGAATCTGGACTAGTCGCAGTAACGGGCACTAAAATCCTTGTCCAGTAAAGCGGCTTCATAGGCACGTCAGGATTTAAAGGTTGCTTCCTCATAACTACGAAAGCGAGAAACTGCGTTAGACGGTACAAATATCAGGATCCCATGTTAGAAAAAAAACTACATGGTATACTCTCGATTATCTGAAATGACGGCGGGCCAGTTCGATTCGAGAAACGCGAGTGATCCGCTGCGAGACGCGTGGTATCGCGCTGTATCGAGGCATGTGCGGGGATTACCGTGTCGTGTGTTAATCGAGAGTACACATATACGTTAGAAGTTTCGAAACTCACTGGCCCTGCTCGGCGGATTCCACCCTCCAACCGGTGGAGCAGGTAAAGGACAGGGTCCACTCGCACCTGGTGTCATGGGCGGTGGTGGAGGTGGACCCGCGGCTGATGTCCCGACAAAGGGTGGCGGCGGAGGAGGTATACCATCTAGCGTGGACGCAATACCTGGCAGTGCTGGTGGAGGAGGTGGGCCGCTCATAGAGCTCTGCATCGCCCCAGGTAACGGTGGTGGCGGCGGTGGCGGCGAAGGCACCTCGCCAGTCGTGAACGGAGACGATAGAGCAGGAGCAGGAGGAGGAGGTGGAGGAGGCGGTGGTGGAATCCCGCATGTGTTCAGCATCGGTGTGGGCGGTGGTGGTGGCGGCGGAATCGCGCTCATGGTAGTAGTCATAGGTGGTGGCGGTGGCGGTGGAGGCGGAGGTGGTGGCGGCGGCAAAGGTATGCCGCTTGAGACGCCCTGCGCTAGCGCAAACGGACATGGGGGTGGAGGTGGTGGCGGCGGTGGCACCGCGTTTATGATACTCTCTAGAGAAGGCAGCGGAGGCATCCCACTCTTACATAGAGAAGAGCGTGATGATGGAGAAGATGTCATGTTTAGTATCGGCGTAGGTGGCGGCGGTGGTGGAGGTGGCGATGAGAAAAGAGTACTCGCGATACTTTGCATCGGCATCGGCGGCGTTGGTATCCTAGTGGAAATATCTGACAACCCCGATGTGATCGTCGAAATCGTCTTTTCGATACTCGGTATTGCCGATCCAGTTGTCTGTGCGAACGGTGACGACGGGGGCGGAGGCGGTGGTGGCGGAATGAAGGGCTTCTCCGACATGATTGATGTGCATCTGTTCTTTGAGATCGGTTCCGGCGGCAAGGGCGTTTGCAACGGCACGAAAATTTCGTTGCGCATCATATTCGCGGAAGAAGGCGCGAGGATCACTTTGTCTTCGAGATCAGTGATGTCTTTCTTTATCGATGACGATTTTCGAATGCTATTGGTATTCAGATTGTTCGTTTCACCGACATGTCCATCGATCGGCGACGACTTTTTCGGTGAAGTTTGAGTAGACTGGCATTTGGTATTTATCTCCCTTTTCGTCGACACCTCGCGTAGCCGTTTAATCTCATCTCTCAGTTTCTTCACCTCTTCTTCGCAGAATCCGTGGCATGTTTGGCTCGAGTTGATTCGACTTGGAAGCAGCCCGTCTGCCAGTGTGTCTATCCGATCCATCTAATTAAAAGAAAACGTTTTATATGCAAGTGTGATAGGTATATTAACCGTTGCGAAATTAATAGATGAGAATTTTACCGTGGACAAGACATCATGTTTCGCACCGCGGCTGGATAGCGCAGAAGTCAGACGAAATGGCAGTTGTTGTTCTGAAAGAATCCATTAATATCATGAGATAATATCGATATGTGTATCACGGAGCAATCTCTTATATCAACAAAATTGTGAAGCTGCGTGATTATTTTGTTCGTATACAAAAAATGTTCTGTATATACCACACTATCATTTATCTATAAAATCCTTGGTCAATGTGCAATGAAATTTTTCGCAAAACATCGAAGAACCGAAGATAAGATATTCTTGAAATTACGAGAGATTGGAAACAGAAGCGGACATCTCTTTGTCTGTCATCAAATTGAATGGAAAGCCCTATTTTCGATTAATGATAAACTTTGAACTCGAATATCAAGTAATTTGAGTTAACTATACATCTCCGTTTTATCTCGACTTTAATGCGACTGGCTCTGCCAGTGTTTCTGATTTATTACTATTATTAGCTCTCATTCTCTCATTATATTATTTATTCAAAGCATTGATGCGACACTTGTATCCTTACAAATTTAGAATTCACGCTAATTAATTCACGTTTATTGCGTAAGCAAGGTAAACTTCTATCGCTGCGTGGCTCTCTTATCTTTCTTTACTCCCGAGATGAGCGATTCTTGTAGATATATATATATATATATATATATATATATATATATATATATATATATATATATATATATATATATATAT